AATCCTTGTTGAAAAACACATTTCTCTTTAGTTTGTTTGTTCTTTTGTTGAAAAATATTCTTTATTGATACTCCCTCTATTCCTTATTTTGTTGATTTAGAGATTTTTTTTTTTTTTTTGATCAACAAAGTGAATTATTTTAATAAAAATTAATGGAGTAGAAGAGATACTCCTGCCCTTTTACAAAAAAAAGAAGAAAACAATTACTCCTTGCAAAAATAAAAAGACACTGCAGGAACACAAAAATAATGAAGACCCCGAAAGAACAAGAATAATCAGTAAAGAACACACTTCAACTAAACTGAAGTCATTTCTGTTGCTGATTAAACATCTTCAAGGATTTCTTGTATCGCTTCAACTCCCTTGCACACTCCAACGGGTTGCTTTGCCACTGGACCAACAAAAAAACACATCCAGCCACCTTATTTCTTACCCAAAAGTGAGTTTTAACTTGAATTAACTCCAACAATTGCTCCCTAATATCCTCCTCCCTCCGAAATACCAAGACATTTCTCCTATACCACAAATACCAAGCAGTAACAAGAAAAATGTAAGCTCCCATCTCCTTGCCTACCAAACTGCCTAGCCCGTAGATGAAAGTCTCTGCCACACCCTTCACTGTATCCGGCATCACTAGCTCCATACCCCACCACTTAATCATCTTAACCCAAACTACCCACGCTTCCATGCACGTGCAAAATAGGTGATCAACCTCCTCCACCCCCTTCTTGCATAATCCACACATCATATTATCCCCCTGTAAGGTCACTCCTCATTTCTGTAAATTCCTTCTAGTTGGGAGTCTATCTAAGCATAATCTCCACCCAAAAATACTCACTTTAGAAGGCACCAACCTGCACCATATCAATTTACACAACTGGCTGTCCAACAAGCATTCCACAGGAGCTAAAAAATCATAAGTTTTCTTCACTATATACCTACCCTCCACATCATACCTCCACTTCCAATAGTCACTTACATATTTCCTAAGCTGTAAATTACCCAATACCTTCCATAACTCCTTTTCCTCATCTTGCTCCCGACCCATCCTTTTTCTTCGCCACCCTATTTCCCATCTCCAACTCTCCCCTTCCCAAAACCCGAACTCCTAAACCATACCCTCCTTGTTAGTGGCTAATTGAAAAAGCCGTGGGAATGAATCTCTTAAAGAATTATTCCCCACCCAGATTTGTCTCCAAAAACCCACCCTGCTTCCATCTCCTACCTCCCATTTAAACCCCTTCACCAGCATAGATTTTAATCTATTGGATTTCCCGCCTATGCTAAGAATGTCCCCCCAAATCTTTGACACTCGCAGCTTCTCCACATCTGTAATATTGACCTCCTGCCCACCTCCATAATATTTCTCTTTCACTACCCGTTTCCATAACCCCTCCTTTCCATCCCCTAGCCTATACCACCATTTTCCTAACAAAGCCCAATTTCTACGGTGCAAATCAGGTACTCCTAGTCCTCCATTCACCTTGCTACCACAAATATCCTCCCATTTCACCCACGATATCTCCCTCTTCTCGTCGTTCCCCCCATCCCCACCACCCCACAAAAAAAACCCTTTGAATTTTAACTAATTGAGCATTCACAGAACTTGGCATAAAAAATAAAGACATAAAAAAGGTAGGGAGAGCAGAGAGTACCGACTGAAGTAGCGTGAGGCGACCGCCAAAGGACAGCAGGGCAAATTTCCAGACGGCAAG